AAATAATAGACGCCTACGCAATTGATATTCAAGACGAGTCAAACAATAGACAGACAATAAAGCCAAAATCATATTACTGCATTCCTGCCAGATGTCACACTTCCAAAGTGACTTACGTAAAACTGCCCTGACCTCTTAGGAGGTCAAGTGAGTATATTAGCAGCGACGACTGCTGTAAAACAACTAATTTGGAGGCAACAGATGGCAGGTTGAAGCAGAGGCGACAGTTATTATTCATCTTAATAGCAGAAATTCAATCAGGTCAGAATCCCCAAAGGCAAATTAGTAGGTGTAGTTAACACCCACTGTAATCAACACAAATCCATATGATGGACTCAGCTACCACAAGATAATCAGGTCAAGTTGAGCAGATAACACACATCGTTTAGGTGGAGTAAGAATAATTGGCACCGATTTCAAGGGTGAAGTAAGCCAAACATCACATATTTGCTGCCTTGATCCATACAGACAAGAGCCTATCCAACACACTATTGCATAGATATAGAAATGACGCTGACGTTTCGGAGATTTTGTAAGGAGGGAGTTACTAGTACTAACAATTTACCGATTGGTAAGAAACAAATTTGAGGTCCTCCAAAACCTCTAGGAGCATCATCACATATGGGGCGAACATGTGGGTTATCAAAACCGAAGCGGCCAATCAACCGCCACAACCCTTACACTACTGACCAGAAACAGCCCGCATCTATGCAAAGCTCTAAGTTAGGTGCTACCAACTATCCGAAACTAAAAGAACACATGCCACGCATATGTAATGTACCAAAATAAATTGTTTTCGAGGTGAAAGATTGGAGAAAGGTGCTAACTTCCCGTTTTGAATTCATGCCAAGCCTACATTTATTTGCCGAGGATGGAGAGTACATGCAGCCGAGTTTGACAATTTTTTAATGCAGCATTTTGCATAAATACTGCAACCAAATTTCTGCGGTCAAACACACTGAAAACGGTCAGATTCCACTCTCAACTAAAGCTGGGAAAGAAATCCATGTATCAACTTAGTGTTGCTGCAGCATTCGCATACCTTATGCTGTTCGAGAAATAACCTAATCATCGGTGCCACGCAGAACGTTATGGAAATTGGCTAACTGGTCAGATACAAACCACCTTCCTGGGTGGGATCAACTGGACATTTGTGGACAAATTTAATGTGCTTCATGAATTTCATGAACTAACAAAGTAGAACGTCGATTACATACCAATAAAGGTTGTACGCTCAACTACCTACTCCCGGTGTCACATATGTTGCATGGGTCCTAAATTTGAATATGACAAATGACCGCGCCAAATTGTTGCACCCAAAGACAAGCAATTTCAAAATCAGCAAAAAGGTGGTGTATGGTGACCATGTACCGGGGGGAACAGCACTTTTAGTTCTCTTCAGCGATGACTTGGTTAAAAAATCAAATCAGGACTGTAAAACACCTGGATAGTAGTCGTCGACACTTGTCTGAAAACCTGACAGTGAATGTTAGGAAATAAGTGAAGAGATAAATCCAAACCACGTGGTTTATCCCTCGTTTCTGGTGAGGCGCCACTTTTGTACTTCGAATTAGCCCCCTTGTACCTCGCTGGGTGGGCTGGCCTTTTGGGCCATGCCAATAGCCCAGACACCTTCTCCGTGCTAAATATATATATTCTGCCCGAGTACTTTGTCTTCTTTCGTCTTCAGGGAGTCTTGGGACGCTGCACTACTGACCTTTTGTCTTTCGAGTACAGTCGTCTGTGCTTCCCCTTCAAGATGTCGTTGTGTATGCCATTGTATGGTTTTCTTTTTCGCGTTAGTAAGCGAAACCTCAGCTTTAAATATGACTAGTGGAGTATCTTTTTAAAGCTGCCTCATGATGTATTGAACTGGTATCGGCTGGGTACAGAGTTGTGCGTTTCCAACAGGGCAGTTCGTAGACGGGAAGACTTTTACCACGCCTACTTCATTTTTACTCTTAAAAACCTGAAGGTTAGGATCGCGCCTTTTTTAAAAATTAACTATGTTAGCCGTAAATATTGCTTCACACTGGTATAGACTATTGCAAAGTTATTACTGACTTAAGTCATTACCCTAATTTTGCATTCTATACTTTGGGAAAGATCTTGCTGTATACACCAAAAAGAAATGCGTTTTGCTTATAAGAGTTGACGAATAATGCGCCTTTTTTCAAAAAATTGTCCAATCGGCTTTTTGGCCTATAACTAAATGATTGTAAATAAAAACCTTCAATTAGGTGTTAAACTCTTAGTAAAAAAATTTTGTGCTAATGCATAGGTAAAACATGTATTAAAGTATTCCAGGTTTAATTATTTTTTGTTTGAAATTGTCAGGGATTCCACGTTTGGCTTTGGGCTGCTCGTCTGAATTTGCATATGCGCACCTGATTTGTTCGCGGCGTTGGTTTTTGATGGCTATGCGGGTACTTGCTGCTGGTGTTCATGGTAGGTGGAATTCCTGCTAACCCTTTTCTAGACCTTTGATTAATTGAAAGTCGAACTGGGGTTCGTTTTACTTCTCTTAAATCAGGTTCTAACCTGTAAGTAACATGTCGTTATTTTGATTCAGCATGTGTATACGGTGTTGTTGTCATATTTATCTCTTGTTAATTTGTGCATACCTAACCGGTTTAACTTGTAAGCAACAGTTAGAAGTCTTTGTCCACTTTTTAGCCCTTTTTAGGCATATATGCGTCCGGTAGTTTCTTTAGTTCCCTTCGCGTATGTTGGAATTGCTACTGTCCATGTAGCCTTTAAACTGGGGTCCGATCTTGATATTTGCAAGCTCAATTCAATGCACTTTTTTACATACCCTAATAAATAGTCTTGAAGAGAAGTGGAAGTAGCCAATTGAGCCTGATCTTGCTAGCCTGAGTTGGCTCAAGCCTACTTATGCAGGTTGTGCTCTTATCTCAGCCTTGTTATATTATTGGGCGCTTTGCTTTTTTCACTGTGCATCTACACTAAGTTGCATACAATTGTCCTTGACAATCACCAAAAATTTTAATGGAATATTAGGGTAGTCAAAGCACATATCTTAGGCAATGTTTGAGGGGTTGTTTTCCATTCTTAAATATAGAATGATAAACCTTACAGCATTGCAGGAATATGAGTGTTTGAATTCGATTTCAGTAGATTTTTTACACACCCTAGTAGCGTCATTAAAAATTCGTTCTTTTTTACCTTCTAAACTTAATGCACGAAGTACGAAGGGAGAAGTGTGAATGTCGACCCATTTGGAATCCCAGCCACCTTTGCTACTGCTGTCGTAGCAGACTTTGCAATGACGAAGGATTTTGTTGCGGACGATTGTAGTGAGTTTTCCCCACTTTACAGTGATTTCCATGATTACGTTGCTTCCTTTTCCATCATTATATGTTGTCCTGTCACTTAAGCATCCCTATCACAGTGATATTTTTTGCGCTAGATATTAACACTTTTAAATAGCCTGGTTTAGTCAAGCCGCGGATTTGATTAATCGCACAATTTGCTTAGACTGTAAACGTCCATCTAGATCAGCAGTGATGCACGCCCAGGCTTCACAAGTAAACATCTTTGCCTCAGGTTTGCCTGTTTTGAGAAGGGGAAATTTGGAAGTTGTCGAACTCAATTATGAATTTTTTTACTTTTCCAATAAGTTCATTAACCTGGGCTCATTTTCGAAAGTTTTTTTGCTTCCTTAATTGTTGAACGGGCTTGAAATTTGCGTGGTTTGGTTTCGTCTCTTCACTTATTTCCTAACACATTCACTGACAGGTTTTGAATGAATTGTCGAGGACTACTATCCAGGTGTTTAACTGCTGTGATTTGTTTTTTTTTGTTTTTTTGTTTTTTTTTTAACCAATCGCCTCACCAATACCGAGGGATAAACCACTATCGTACTTCGCTACAACAGAGCCATTAATGACATTAGGCACTAATCTAATCCTCCATTATATACTTTATAATAAGCCTCTCATATAAAGAAATAATAAATTGCGTTTTGTCTGTTAAAGTCAACACAAAACTCCTTAATTTAAATGTGCCTATCGGCCTTTTTGGCTAAAAACTAGATGGTTACTAGCGTAGGCCTTTTAATAGCTGTTTTACTTTTGAGCGAAAAAATTTAAAAAAATTAGCGCGCTTTTTTGCATTTTATATATAAATCTTTTTTAGTTTGATGATGTTTGGTTTTGTCTGAATTGCGCGTTTTGTTTGGGGGCAGCTCACGTGGCTTTGCATGTGCGCACGTGATTTGTTCGCTGTGGTCGTTCTTGATGGTTTTGCTCCTATTTAATGTAGGTGGGATTCCTGCTTTTCCAGACCTTTGATTTACTGGGAGTTGAACTGGGTTTCGTTTTACTTCTCTTACATCAGGTTCTGGCCCGTAAGTAGCATGCCGTTATTTTGAATCAACGTGTATACGGTGTCATTGTTATATTTATCTATTTCAAACTTGTACACGCCTAACCCCTTGACCTTGTGAGCAACGGCTAGAAGTCTTTTTGGAATTTTTAGCCCTTTTTAGACATATGTGCGTCCCATCTTTTTTTGTTCCGTTAGCGTATGGTGGCATTGCTGCTGTTCATGTAGGCTTCAAATCGGGTTCAGATCTTGATTAAGTTGCATAAAATTATCCTTGACGATCGCTTACAGTGTAAATTGGATATTAGGGTTGTGAACGCGCATATCTTAAGCGATGTTTGAAGGGGAGTTGTTTTCCGTTCCTAAATATAAGCTATTAAACCTTACAGCACTGCAGGAATATGAGTATTTGAATGTGGTTTCAGTGAACATTTCACATACCCTAGTGGTATCATTAAAAATTCGTTTTTTTAACTTTTAGGCTTGATACGCGTAGTACGAAGGGAGAAGTGTGAATGTCGATCCATTTGGAATCCCAGCCACCTTTGCTACTGCTGTCGTAGCAGACTTTGCAATGGCGAAGGATTTTGTTGCGGACGATTGTAGTGAGTTTTCCTCACTTTACAGTGATTTCCATGATTACGTTGCTTCCTTTTCCATCATTATATGTTGTCCTGTCACTTAAGCATTCCTATCACAGTGATATTTTTATTTGCGCTGAATTTCCACACTCTCAAATAGTTTAGTTTAGTTAATCCATGGATTTTCTTAATCCTACATTTACTTCTCGAACACGTTAACAAACCTGGGTTCATTTGTCGACAATTTTTTTGCTTCCTTATTTGTTGAAAGAATGTGAGATTCG